TTTCTTTTAATTTAAACAAATTTTATTCCTTGTAACTATTTCATCCAGTAATAATAAGAAAATATTTACAGTAAATCATTTACTTTATTAACAGTAAATCATTAACTAATTGTGTTATTGATCAAATGCGTTGTTAACATGTTAGTTCCACCCATTATTGTCGTGTGTCTTAACTGTACTTCCAGCTAGTAGATCTCTGGACACCGTTCAAATAACAAGTTTGAGCAAAATAAATAAGTTCGTGTGACCTTCTGGCGAAGTTCTTCCTGTTAAGGTTTTCATTCAGTCGCGGCAGCATCCCTAAGATGACTTAATAACCACTTCTTCTTATTGTGCCGTCTCCTTTCGAAAGTCGGCGATCCAAACGAAGTTGTACCTTTGGAAATTGCTACAGGAAAGATTTCTGTGGATGAGCGGTCAAACCATCTCCTCAGGACTTTCAGCCATGAGTTATGGCGTCTTCCTACTAATCTTTTGCTCTTTACTTTACCTTCCAATATTATTCGGAGTAATTCATATGTTTTACCTCTCAACACATGACCCAAGTATTCTATTTTCCTCTCTTTGATTATACTTAATAATTCATTTTGTTTACTCATGCGCCGAAGAACTTCATCGTTGGTAACTTTTTGTATCCATAAAATTTTTAGCATTGGTCTGTATATGTGCATCTCAAAGGCATCGATTGTTTTTTCTCTTTCAGAGTCAACTGTTCAACTTAAACAGCCATACAGCAAGACACATAAAACGTAACATCTGATCATTGGGATTTTAAGCTCTAGACTTCTTGTATCAACTACTTGTAACAACCACTTAATGCTCGTAGAAATTGAAAATTTCTTTTTAAATTATTGTTATGTGTTCTAAAAGCGAAGTTGAAAAAATAGGTTTATATCTGTAGCCACAAAAGATTACAGCACTTTAGCAGAAAACAAAAAGAATAAAATAATTTACTATAAATTATGCTTGTTTTACTGTTGTTGTTTACAATGAGTATAGTCTACACAGATTGAGGAACATTGTGTCAGCTCTGAAAAGATCATCAGGTAATGACAACTGGTCTTTTGCGCCATTGATTGGCCTAAAGCCCTGTATTGGGTGAACGAACAGTAGCCATTGATAAATGGAAGCAAGAAAAGTATTTGGAAGGGTGGAAAAATGCACCATGACAAAGACAAGTTAAAAAGTTCATTAAGGAACATTTAGTCAAATTCACCGCCGACTTACTGTCAAAGATTCTCAGGGTGATAGTGGGTGCAGGCTCAATAAGCATATGAATCGTATTTGATAGAAGAGGATACTTGTCGGTTCTGTCTAGAAGAAGAGGAAACCGCTCTTCACTTCTTATGTCAGCGTGGATACTACTGTTCACAAGGCAGTGGTATGTAGAACTCTAAGAAGACAAACCAAAAGCATAAGTCTATATGAAAGGATCCCCCTCAAAAGTGTGAGAGCTTATTAAGATAATGGAGCTGGATGAGGAGCTTTAAGTGACATAGGTAAGCACAATAGATTTGTAGAGGTCGGAGTATGTCAGGTTGAGAGCCGCACTAGTTGTACTCTGTAACTTTTAATATCTAACTCAAAACAGTTAAATGTTGGAATATACATATTATATTCGTCATGGTGTGGGATACTTCTGCAATTATATATTCTTTCTGGTTTCATTAGCTATTCCATTCAAATTTCCGTTTAATCTGTGTTAATTTGACGCTATATATTTTTTGTATTAAAATACTTTAAACAAAAGCTTTTTGACTTCTTGCTATTCAAATAATCACAAAAATATAATATCATAAGATCGGACATTTCTGCAGATTTCTGTTTATGATATAAGTGGCCAAATTGGTAGAGCCATCTAGAGAGACAAAAAGAAATTTTAATCACTCGCACATAATGATATATTACGTATAACAGCCGTACTCAAACTGTGTTATGCGTACCACTGGTGGTACGCAAAGCATTGAAGGGTGGTACTCCAAAAACTAGAAGAAACGAAAAATTTTAATAAAATTTACTAACAAATGTTATCTTACGTTGTGCATGGCAACGCTGTTAGTTTGAAACCACAAGCGCGTAATGTCTTATTCATTGTTGGCAACACTGGAGTTACGGCAAATTATCACCTGATTCACGTCCAATCATGTCATCAGTTTCCTCGTGGCCGTCAGTCGTTGTGGTTGGTTTTGTCGAAACGAGTAATTTGCTGATACTTATTCGTGCTAATTTTTGTATATAAAAAATGGATAAGTGGCTTAAAAGAGACAACAGAACATCTAAAAATCCCGGTCCATCGAGCTTCACTTCAGAGTCGGAGGCTATACAGGGTGATGATATAAAAGTTCTTTCAAAAAACTAAAAGTGGCCGTTAGGAAATATAATACATTAGTATGGGATTTATATTCACGAATATAAATGATGAGCCAAGGCCCCAATGTGTAATCTGTTCGGAAATTCATTCTAACTAGCGTATAAAACCTTCGCTATTAAAGGTCCCTTCAATACAAAACTATCAGTGTTGAAAAATAAACCTAATTACTTCGTTCGGAAGTAACGGAGATGAGAGGTACAAAAAAACAATGTCGAATTTCACCGGCAGCAACCAAAAAGCGGTAGAGTTTAAGACTCACCTAGTGAGTTTAAGAATTGCGAAGTGTGAAAAAGTACATACCATCGGTGAAGAACTAGTTCTGCCTGCCGCACAAGATATGGTAACGTGTATTATTGGAAAGAATTCAGATAAACATCTTAGTATTATATTATTATCCAATAATACCGTACATCGTAGGGTTGGAATAATGGCATTAAATGTTAAAGAATAATTGGTAAACCGGATAAAAAATAGTATTTCTGTACAATACAACTTGCTGAGAGCACAGTTATAACAAACTATGCTCAGCTTATGGTTTATGTGCGATATATATTTCAAACCAAAATCGAAGAAAAGTACTTATTTTGTGAGGCGTTAACGGCACGAACTACTGCCGATGAAATATTTAAGAAAATCAATGATTTTTTTGTGGTTAATCTACTAGACTGGAAACAACGCATTGGTTTCTAATCGAATAGTGCCCGAGCCATGACATGAAAATACGGAAGTGTAACGGCCAAAGTAAAACTGGTTGCAGAAAATTGTAGTTTTACCCATTGTAGTATCCACAGAGAAGCTTTGGTAGCAAAGCGAATGCCAGATGAATTTAAACATGTTCTCCATGAAGCCGTTCAGATAGTCAATTTCATAAAATCTCGAGCCTTAAGCTCACGTTTATTTTCAGAACTATGCTCTAAAATGGGAAGTGATCATATTCAGTTATTGCTACACACAGAGGTAAGATGGTTATCAAAAGGAAAAATATTGAACAGGTTATTCGACTTGCGTTCTGAAGTACATGTATTTTTAATGAAAACCAATTTTGAACTGCGTGATCGGTTACTAGATGAATTGTGGCTCACAACACTAGCTTACTTAACAGACCTATTTAATCTATTAAATGACCTAAACTTAAGCTTACAAGGTAAATCACATAATCGATTTTCTGTCAACTACAAAAAAAATGCTTCTATCACGAAATGTTATATGATGAAAAATAGTATTTCAAACAAAGACCTGCAGTCGTTTACCAATTATTAGAAAATGTTGTGGTTGAGCATGAATAAAGATTAAAGATGATCTTATTTTTAACATTTAGCAGCATTGTCAAATGCTAATTGATAGTTTTAAAGAAAATTGTGACGAATACTATGCTCAGTTTCTTTGGATGCGACAACTATTTATTTTGGATAGCATTCCTGAAACATTAAAACAGGATAAAAAATAGTTTTTAATGGAACTATCATGTGATGGGGGTTTAAAAATAGAGTTTTCAAAATTAGAGTTAGCCGAATTCTGGCTAAATATTAAAAGTGAATATCCAGCCTTATCAAAAAAAGTATTGTTATTTTTACGACCGCCTACCTGTGTGAAACTCGATTTTCTACTATGCTACAAGTGAAAAATAAATTTCGCAGTAGCTTTAATATTGATCCAAATTTACGAATGAAACTAAGCACAATTGATCCTGATATCGATTCACTTGTTGTAGCTATGCAGAACCATCCTTCTTACTGAATTTTTGGACTGGGTTAGAGTGTAAGTTTTATTTTGTAACATTTATAATGCCCCATTTTAAATAAATACAGAATTTATATAAGTGGTACGTGTAAAAAAAAGTTTAAGAATCCCTGATGTATAACTTAACTTGTGTTTACAATTTCTTAATATAATTTTATGTAATATATTTTATTTTTAAATAATAATTATTTTGACAAATCATAAATGTCATTTATTGACATCTGGTTTAAGAAATCGCCGAATTGCCAACCAACCTCACATTTAAAGTCCATAACCTTCCCAGTAGAAGTTTTCTCGCTGGCTTGCTAATAATGTCAATAACTCATAGAAAAAAGTGAGAATTGTTTTTATTTAATCACATTTTACTCGATTTTTGTAGATTTTATTGTATTATAATGTTTTTATTAATTCTAATTTATTGTTCTTAATTTAATTTACTAAAGGTTCAATATTTATAACACAAACTTAATTTACTTAAAGTTTATTTATAATAATTTATCTTACAATAATTTATTATTACGACCGTTACATTTAACTACCCGTTCGCGATTTTCTTTTCTAACGGCTGGCCGCAATAAAAGCTCCGTTATTATATATGAAAATACAGCTATTCGAGAGTTCAGGCGAATCCCTCTGATTATACTAGGCTGGGTCATCATTCGACCGGTTTCTGGAAACTTCGAATCGTAGCGGAGCGACCGTTTCATGTAGATTTCTGCCAGCTGATCGAAGGGTCTCGTAGAATCCACAACATAGTGAATAAACAACATGTTTACAGGTTTTTTTTTAATATGACTAATTTTTATGTAACAGTATTAAGCCTCAAAAATATTTTTCAGTTTTTTAACTTTCTTTTCTTATATTTAATTGCAAATATTCTCATTTGCAGGATATTTCAATAGAACGCCCGGGATGGACGTTTCTGCTGATATTGGCAGGAACTGCAACAACCATAGGACTGTCATTACCAGTAGGCTACAATATTGGCGTTTTAAATACTCCTGCAATGGTAGGTAGCATTATAATGCAATCTGTTTTAAATTTTATTGAGACAAGAGTGATATGCCGCTTTAATTATTTGTTAGTACCTTGCCATTATACGCCCCCTCCCCTTCACACACTCTCTCTCTTTTTCTCCGCTGCTTACATGATTTGTCTCTACCTACACTTAGGTCTATCATATACTTTCTCTAATCTTGTATTCCCATGGTACTCCATACACACTTTAAGCTTATTTGTAATGTACCGTTTTGTGCATTTTAAAACGTTTTATTTTGTATTTTTTATAATCATTCATAATAATAAAATAAATCTGCATAGAAAACGAAAAATGTATGGTAAGAAACTATGGGATAGAGTTAGAAGTACAGATATATGATATTGATGCAAGGTGGAGTACATCAAGGATTGTGTAAATAATAGAAGAGTAGAATGGAACGATCATATAAGCCGAATGACGACAAATAGAGTCGTCAGTAGAAAAACCACAAAAATGATGGAACGGCAACTACGAAAAACATAGAGAGTAAGGTCTACATAAGAAGAAAAACAAGAAAACCTTGTTATCAACTTTAGAAAATCTATTTGCACGCCTGATACTTGTTTAATTGTCCCCAAATTAACTCTATACGATTGAAGACACAAAAATAGGGTGGAAGTCTCTTCTTCTTTTTATGGCGCCTATCTGTTACGGATGTTGTACACTAACATGGCTATTTTGACTTTGTTGACTTCTGCCCAGAAAAGTCCGGTAGTGGTTAAGTCAAGTTAAACCATTTTTGCAGGTTATGCAGCCAGGATATTCTTCGTCTTGGACCTCTTTTCCCATGCACTTAACCTTGAAGTATGGTCCAAAGTAGGTTATCTAGTTGTTTATTGCGCATTATATGGCCCAGGTATTTCAGTTTGCGACGTTTTATGGTTATGACTAGTTCGCGCTCTGTACCCATTCTATGTAGTACTTCTTCGTTGGTAACTCTGTCTATCCAGAAAATCTTCAACATGCGTCTATAGCACCACATCTCAAATGCTTCGAGTCTCTTCAGTGATGCTTCAGTTAAGGTCCATGACTCCACGCCATAAAAAAGATCGGAGAATACGTAGCATTTTAGTAAACGAACTTTTATTTCCAATTTTATATCGTGGATGTTAAAGATTTTTTTCATTTTGACGAAATCTGATCTTGCCTTCTCGATCCCTATCTTAAGTTTCGTCGATTGGTCCTATTGTTCATTTAAATTTGCACCCAGATAAGAAAAATTGGTGATTTGTGTTATAGGTTGTTGGTTAACTAGTAATTGACCAGGTGGTATCCTATTTTTGCTTATAACCATGTATTTGTTTTTTTTTATGTTAAAATCAAGTCCAAACCTGCTACTTACTTCTGCCACCCTGGAGACAAGTGTCTGCAGACCTTTAGGACTGTCTGAAAAAATGACAGTATCATCAGCGTATCTTATGTTGTTCAATCGTTCTCCCTTTATAAGTATTCCCTCGTCTATGTCCGTTAGCTACGTCTGGTCCACTTTGTTCAATGGATGTGAAACCTGGACAACAAAAATAAAAAAAAACTTTGAAAAATATGACTATTATGGAGCACAAGTTAATTAAATCTAGCCCAAGTACTTTCGCTTAGAATAGCATCTTCAGGGGCATCTGAAATAAGCCAGAAAACGTTTTTTAGATGAAGGAAATTAGTTAACTTCGATAAAAAACTCGAAGTTAATGCATGAAAAAAAAAAGATTTTCGATTTTTATCGAAGTTAACTAATTTTCTTCATCTAAAAAACGTTTTGTTGGCTTATTTCAGATGCCCCTGAAGATGCTATTTCAAGCGAAAGTACTTGGGCTAGATTTAATTAACTTGTACTGGATAATAGCCTTATTTTTCAAAGTTCATTTATTTGAGCATTCAACCTCATTTCAATTAAAAATAAGAAATCCTAACAAATTAGAAGCGTTTGAGTTATGGTGTTACCGTCGCATGCTCAGAATCCCGTGGACAGTACACATATCTAACGAACGTGTGCTAGGGACCGTGCACAAAGAGCGAGCATTGATCAACATCATCAAAATGGAAAGGTCCAATACTTCGGTCATATAATGAGAGGACCCAAATATCGATGGCTCCGGTTAACCATTCAGGGCAAAATCGAAGGAAAACGTTGGGTCGGAAGAAAACAAATGTGACAAACAATATACATCCTGTCGCACACCTCTTTTATCTTTATGACGTCTGTTAACTGATTCCCAACTCTAACAGCTGCAGTTTGTTCGTAATAGATATTGTTTATTATACGGCATCTCTGCTGTCTAGACCAATTGAATTTAATATTTCATCAGCTCGTCATGTTTTACTAGTCCGCTTTTGGTAATCATTGGAGATCACAGTATCAATGACGTCTAACATGCTGCAGTTTGTTAGTATAGATATTGTTTATTATACGGCGATCTCTGCTGTCTAGACAATTGAATTTAATATTTTCATCAGTCGTCATGTTTTATTCTATCGAACGCTTCTGGTAATCATTAGGGAGAAGTCACAGTATAGTGTATCTCCTGCTTTTGGCAAAACTCTCTAGGTGTATATAATCTGTTATATTGCTTCGTGTGTACCACTTTAACTTTAATAAGTTGTTTACAAGTCACAGTACAGTTTTGTTACAACTTTAATAAGTTGTGTTGTATAAACATCTTCGAAATACAAATTATGGTCCTTTAATAAGCTTTGCAGTTCAGCTTTCTTTGAAGATGTATTTGGTATCTTAGTGAGCTCTTGAGAATGATAGAAAGCATTGTCAAACACTGTTACACTAGTAGGATCCAAGTTCGAGATCAGTAAGTTTTCAAATTAATTTTTAAAATATCAGCTTTCAAATTCTTGTGGTAGTCAACAACAATCCTGTATTTTCTTTCCGCATAATTTTAAAGTATTCGAAACCCACCCCTCACTTCCTCCGCAATATACAATACTTTATTTGCTGGAATTTTTGATATGCACATGTTTGAACTATCTGTCCATCCTTTTTTAACTGTATCGTGGGTATCATACAAAATTTTGTGTAAAAAGTAAATTCGCATACTTTCTTGCGTAATTTATTAGTTTGTTCTAGGTATATATTGTGTCTGTTAATTAGGCTTTTTATAACTTCTTTACGATTATTTGTTGTTTTAAATTTAAAGCCTATTTTCTTTAACCGATTGTTCTGACCGGTTGTTTCCAATTTCTTTCTTAATATTTCTATTGTAGGTATAATATTGTGTAAATTGTATATTGTGGTTTCCAGTCCTTTTAGAAGAGAAGCGTCTATAGGTCTTAAACATTTGTAGTCACATCACTTGTTGCGATGATAGGATTAATTTGGAACTATTTTGTGTATAGTTAAAAGTGGAATTTCTATTAAATCACAAGTTATTTATACCAACAGTTTTTCATCGAATCCGAATATCTTATGAAGATTTTTGTACATGTTTAAACATACTTGCTATGTTTCAGAATTTAAATGCATTCGAAACTTCTTTGGGAATACTTTTTTTCTGCAATTAAATTCACACCGGTACTTTAACTTCCTATAAAATCAGTGTTGTTATCGTATGTTACTATTCAAAATAATTAAATTACGGCAAACAATACTCTACACTCTACACTCAAAAGGGATTATAATATTAATTTTATTTTCGATAACAATGTCATAGATAATGGCGTTGTTGAGTTGATATTTAATTTCTGTTATAAATGATTGGAAATTGGAATAACAATACTTATTCACTGTTATTGTAGTTTGTCTTGATTTTACTTTTTAAATTAATTCGTCCTATTATCTGCATCTGAAAGGACCGGATTTAAACATCCATTTCATAGTTTATTTGGGCGAACCTTACATGATTTCGCTCCATCTGCAACACGAGACAATTTTCTACTATATCTTGCCACGCATTATGTATCTAAATAATCCGTTGGAAACATATAATCATAGATAATCATTTTAGGAAAATATTAGTAATATTTTTATTCTCGTCCAATAAATGTGTTATGTGTATTAGAATAAAAATTTAATATTCCTGTCAAACGTTTTCCATAATAGGAAACATTTTATATAAATATGTATGTATAAAAAGAAAATCTAAATATTTTTCTTTATTTTTAAGGAATTTAATTTTTATATCATAATTAAAATATTTAAAATATAATTAAATTGCATGACGTCTCTTGTTCACAAATATCATAGCTGTCATAATGACAATGTTGTATGTTGTGCGGCTAATATTATACTAATTTTTGTAAAGTTACTTCTAAATTTAGATTAAAGGCTATAGTGGAATAAGATGGTCAAAATTGCACCATGCTCGATTCAGTTTTGGGCTTGGCCATTCGAAAGGACATAATTAAAAACTCACTCAGTTAAATTTTCAAGTCCCTAGGTGCCTCTGGGGGTTCGCTATGAGAAAAAACGTATTAAAAAAAATTTTTTAGAGCTGTATGCTAAAAAAATCTGAAAGCGTGTTTAATATACTACCTGATTTTTTTCAGATTTTTAGCTTGAAAATTGAGCCAAAGAAAAATATTTGAAATTTTCAGTATAATATTTTAGGTTATGTCGGAAATTTTTGGCCAACTTTAAAACAATGTTTTTTTATGGGTTTTTTTCCGTTCTTTCGAATGGCATAGGTATTATTATCATTTTCAACGTGGAAAATGTCTAAAAATCGAAAAAACTGTTTTTTTTGGCATTTTTCTGAAGCACCCCTTAACAATAAATTGTATGGGCCCAGAAACAAAACAAAAACAAATAAGTATTACATAGAAAACAAAAAATTTATTTATACTGCCATAAGATACAATAATGTTAGTTTTTATAAAATAAAAAAAATTATTAATAAAATAAACATAAATTAGGTTTTTTAGTGAGATGGATGACTCATAACCTTAACAACATACACCTTAGTTAATGTTAATTCATATTTTTATATGTATTCTTACCTTAACAATCGAAATAAGCTATTAAAACTATTATTTTTTTCCTGCAGCATGCTAAAAAAAAACGAAAAACCCCGTTTTTTGGCGTTGTTTTTAAGCTTTCGCTATAATATCTAAATTCAGTATCTAAATGAATGGTAATTTACATTTTCACATGTATCTTTCCCTTTACAATCACAATCAGCTATTCAAAGCATTAGTTTTATCTCACGACATTCTGAAAAACCGAAAAACCCCAATTTCTCCATGTTTTTACTACATAACCTCAAAAGACTCTGAAAAATGAATCGTGAATTAGAACGCACTTGTACACTCAAAAGTTGTGGAATTATAAGCTAGCGAATATATCTACATATATACGTGATATTAAATCACAATGTACATGCATTTATACACAAACGCATATCTATATAGTTCCATGACTTTTGAGATCCTTGTTATATACATTCATAAGCTCGTACCATGCTCGTCCATGCCTTACTCTTCCGCTTAGATACAAGAGCCTTATACCCATGCTTATATTATTTTTATTTTATTTTATATTTTATATGTACTTAACTGTTTTGGCCTTCATGTCTTAGCCCGACATCCCGCATATCCAGGGAGCCTGATTGTAACAGAAAACATGGCATTGATAGTTGCGCCGCACGGTAGTTGATATTAGGCGGCGCAACTATCAACGCCATGTATATATGATATAATCAGGCTCGCATTATATATTGCTCTTAGTGCGTTTGCGTGTGTAGGGCCATATCCTCTGTATCGCTCTTAGTCAGTTTGCGTGTGAGGGCCTTTATCATTTCGGCGGGGCTTTTCCTCAAATGTTCAATAGCTCTCTGTTTTTGTGTTTATTTTGAATTGATTTATAATCCATATTAAAAATATATTAAAATTCCACCGTCAGAAATGTTCGCACCAATCTCCGCGTCAATCCCCACGCTAACCCCCACTCAAACCACGTCACCATCGACTGTATATATATATATATATATATATATATATATAATATATATAT